AAAAAGGGGAAAAAAAAAAAAAGAGAGAAAAAAAAAAGAAGGAGCAAACAAAAAGCTTCGCCGGGACAGAGGCGAGGAGCCGCTGGGTTCCCCCGCTTATTGCCTTTGGCTTCAGGAAGCGGGAGCTCTGGAAGGGGCTTGGGAAAATTGGCTCCCCCCTTCCAAAAAAAAGGCGCTCCCGAAGCGATTTCGGCGGGGAAACAAAGTTACTGGGTTTTTGGGGTGAAGAGGAAAGTCACAGGGCTGATAATTAAAAGAGGCTTTTTAGCTAGTTCCTTTCGGAGGATCAGGACTTAAGAAGAGTTGAACTTTCGGATTCCCAGAGAAAAAGAAGCGGGGATAATAGCTGAGAAAAAAAACCAAAACAATCAACACAACAATAAAACACCCCTCCTTAGGCTGATTTCTAAAATGTGACCAAGCAAATTCTAGGAAAAGGCAGCCTCGGTGCAGCCCGGTCCTTCACATGAAGTCGCTGCTGGATCCAAGTCCGTTGAGTTGAATAGGCGAACAAAAATCTTGCTTTTTTTTTCCGCCCTTGATGAACAACAGCAGCTAAAAAATCATTAAAATGTTTTGTTTGAGTTATTTTTCTTTCTGGAAAATCGGGTTAAAAATAATAATTATGAAAAAAAGCAACCAAAAGTTACAAACTTCTTTTGAGTCCCAAGAAGTTGAGGTCGGGGGAGATGAAGGAGCCGGAAAAAAATAACAAACCCACGCCACAGTTTTTTTGTCCTGAATGTGGTTTTTGGAGGCTGGGATTTCTAATGATTAGGTTTTTGTGGTTTATATATACAGGACTCTCTGGCTAAGGCGATCATTATGCTGATGAGAGTCAGCAGCACGTGGTGCTTCACTCCTCAGACTTTTGCAGCCCTCAAAATAAATAAACCAATGTGCATCCCCCCCAGGAGGAGAAACTCTCACCCACGGGGAGAGGGACTGGGAAGGGGGGGAGCAGGAGACCGTCTCCAATCTCCACTTCTCTCCGGGTTTTTTCCATTAACACTTTGCGCTTGTTTGTTTAAATTAAAAAAAAAAAAAAAAAAAATCTTGTTTGCAAAAAAGAAAAAAAAAAGGGGGGGGGGAAAAATAGAAGTAAGAATAATCTGGTGCCAAATAGTTTTTTGCTAAGTCTCCGGTAGTCTAAAGCCTAAACCATTTCCTTGAATGAATGAAAGCTATAAAACCCCTTCAGACTATTAAGGTAAAGGGAGTCTGGTTTGTTTTCTCCCTTAAAAAAAAAAAAAAAGAAAAAAAAAAGGGCAGATCTTATTAAAAACCATTTACATACCCAATGGTATGAAAGTGTCACCGCCTCCCCGCGCAGATAACAGCCTATCACAACCCGCCCTCTAATTTCTAAGGCTTTACTCCGACTTGCTACTTCCACCTTCTCGTAAAAAGTCGGCGCTGCGTGTGTGCTCCTTGCTCGCCGCCTGTGTGTGACTCGGGGCGCTGTGTGTGTGTCTGTCTGCGCTGGGGGGTGCAGGGGATGTGGCCCTTCCACGAGCCCTTCCGAGCCCCGAACCCGGCACCCCGACCCAGCCGGGTCAGTCCCGCCGGACCCTTCGCCCAGAGCCGGGCGGAGCAGCCCGCGGAGCCGGGCTCGGGGTGTCCGTGTGCGGCTGCTGGAGCTGCGGCCACCTCGGGGCTCTTTCTGCACCCGCGGAGCCTCCGCGCCCTCCTCCTGCCGGGCGGCACCGCTGCCCCCGCGCCTTCCTGCCCCGCTACCCCAAATTTCTGTTCCCCCCGGGGCAAAGCCCGGCTGTGCCCGGGGAAGGTGCGTGCAGAGGCGGCCGCGGCTCCTGCTCCGCTCGGCTCCGGAGCAGAGAGCAAGCCGCAAGCTCCGCCGATCGGTCACAGGGGAGAGCTCTCGCTCCGCGCACCGCGGCTGCGGCTGCGGCTGCCGCCCCCGCTCCGCGCCCGCCGGGAGCCCACCCAGCCCCGGCTCCGCAGCCATCCCTGCATCCCTCCATCCCTCCATTCATCCACCCCTGCATCCCTCCCTCCGCTCCGCGGCTTTCCCACGCTTCCCGCGGGGAGCGGCACCCCCGGCCCACTGCCTCGCAGGGATCTGTGCCCTCCGCTTTTTTATTTCCTCACGGTGGTTTCTCCATCCCCCCCCCCTTTCCGTTTTTTTTCCCTTTTTTTTTTTTTTTTTTTTTTTTTTTTTTTTTTTTTTTTTTCTTTTCTTTTTTTCCTTTTTTTTTTTCCCGGCCCAAGGTTTGAAGGGCTCTGGAAGTTTTCTATCCCGTTGAGAAAACGCGATCCATGTGGATAACGCTGCAAACCCCTGCCGAGCTCGCCCTGCTTCTCCCGACAACCACGGGATCTGCTTTTCCCCAAAAGTGGCTACAGGCGTTTCCAAGGCACGATTACTCATCACCTATACGGATTAGTATATATGCAGAAGCTCTGGTTTGCTGTGGTTGCGATACAGAAAACACATTTTTTCATACTTATTTTGGCAAAATATTTATGTCCATATATTCTTTTGGCTTCCTTCCCCCCTTCTTTAGCTGGCTCTAATACATTCCCAAAGAGCCATTCCAAAGGCGCTAGAAGGAAGGCAAAGAGTTGTTTTATATCCAAATGCTATATAGGCCTGACAATCATGATTTATTTCATTTCAAACAAGAAGATACGTTTCCACTTTTAATTAGCCACACTAAAATTTTTACAGTCACCTCTCTTCCTACTAAAATAAAATAAAAAAGTTAATTAGGATAAACTAAAATAAGTCATTGGAAGCTACCAGTTTAAGGTCACTTAAAATAGTCCAGCGTTATTTATAATGTAGAAATAAAATTTTCCACTGAGTGCCCTAACAAAGTTTCAGGTATCTGGCACAGCTGATTTTCAGCCTCCGTGCAAAAATATCTTTCTGCTGAACATTTACACATTTAACAGGAACTTACTACAGTCTGGAACAGATCACGGCTCAGAGCTCTAGAATTTTATTTAAATGGTTATGGACAAATTAATAAAAGTACCAGTAATGTTTATGGATCTACATAAAAGCTGGATGGGATTTTTCAGAAGAAGTCATTCATGTTATGATATATATAATCTGGAACGTTGGCTTGGATTTGGCTGGAATGGAGAGCAACCCTGCTGCTCGGCTTTCCTCGGGTTTTATTTCAGAACTTCTCGGAATTTTAGCACTGGTTGCAAAATGGGTCATATTTTAAGATTTTACAGAATTGTAGGAGGTTGGTGAAAGAATGTGCTTGCGCTGCAAGTTATATCTTAACAAACACCTTCAGATCCACTTTACAATATCGAATTTTCATTAGTATGGCTGTGCTTGCTGCAATTTAAATTGTCTTTTAGCTTTTTCACTTTTAACTGTGTTATGAATACAGCCATAATTTGACTGCTTTTGGACAAAAAGGTAATGTTTTAAAGAGCACTGAGTTTGTTTACCATCACATTTCTAAAATGTAGGCCCAGTACACTCCTGTTGTAAGTACTGGGTGCTCAAGATGAAAAATAATTATCAGATATGAAAGATTCTAACCTGGATGATGTTCCCTAAATAAATAGTTTCAATGCCAGTTTGCTGGGCTGGAATGCGCTGCAAATACGATGAACACAGAATTTATTTTGAGCCTCTGTGTGTATGTAAATAGCCTTTGTGAAATGGGAATAAATGAATGGGTTCACTGGGTTTGTTATTGTGTTTTATATTTTTAGCCAGAGCAACTACAGCAATGTCAGCAATTATTACTATAGTGAAAGAATTGCCAATATTCTTGTTTCCAACATCTACCTTCCCGAAGTTTTTTATTCACTCATGGAAGTGTGCATCGAGCCAAAATATGTGAACTTAAGTAAACTTAATGCTAGAGAAGGTTTTGCCCGAACTTCCATTCATTTCAGTAGGGGCGAGATAAGCTCCAGTGTCTCTTGGCAGTGCTTTACTTTCACTTTGGTTGGAAGTTGACTGTTTGCCCAGCTATTCTTTGCTTTTTCTTAAGTATGACAAATAGTAACTCTAGATTAGCACGTTATTTGGTCTGCTAAGTAGGCGTGTGGTAATGAGCTCTGTAACAGCAGCATTCTTACTCAGACTGTGGACTACTATGGTTTGTTTAACTACTGTGTCC